GCCGGCGTTTCGGGGCCCAGCGAGGAACAACAGCCATCACGAAGCTGTGTCTTGAGGACCATGACCTCGATGCTGATAACCTTCGCTGACTTGAGGACTTCAGTGTTGGCGACGAAGTCACTCCAGTGAATATTGAAGATTGTGCGGAGGCAGCGCTGATGGAAACGCTCGAGGAGACTCAGGTGACGACGGTACGTGACCCAGGACTCAGCGCCATACAGGAGAGTGGTCAGCACAACAGCTTTGTAGACGTTGACCTTTGTGGCTCTTTTAAGGTTGCTGTTGTTCCAGACACGTTTGTATAGTCTGCCAAATGCACTGTTTGCCTTGGCCAGCCTGTTGTCGACTTCGTTGTCGATCTTGGCGTCAGACGAGATCACGCACCCCAAGTAGTTGAACTGGTGGACAGCTTTCAGTTCTGTTTGTTCAATGAAGATGCTTGGTGGATGGTGCTCCTCATGGGGTGCGGACTGATGAAGAACTTCAGTCTTCCTCAGGCTGACTTCAAGGCCGAAGATCTGAGCTGTTTTCGTGAAACAGGACGTAATTCGCTGCATAGCTGCCTCTGTGTGAGCAAGGAGGACGGCATCGTCAGCAAAAAGCAGCTCCCTGATCAGTTGCTCCATGATCTTTGTGTGGGCCTGCAAACGCCTCAGGTTGAACACGCTCCTGTCGAGACGAACACAGATGTATACGCCATCAGCGTCGTCGAGGTCCTCTGTGGCCTGCTGGAGCATCATGCTGAACAAAATGGTGAACAGCGTGGGAGCAAGAACACAGCCCTGTTTCACGCCGTTTGCAATAGGGAAGGGCTGCGAGAGATTGTTGCTATGTCTGACTTGTCCAAGCTGGTCTTCATGAAGCTGGACGATCATGGTGAGGAACTTCGGTGGGCAGCTTGGCTTTTCCAGGATTTTCCAAAGTCCCTGCCTGCTCACGGTGTCAAACGCTTTTGTCAGGTCCACAAAGGTGACGTACAGCGCTTTGTTTTGCTCCCGGCACTTTTCCTGAATCTGCCTCAGGACAAACACCATGTCTGTGGTTCCCCGGTTGGCTCTAAAGCCACACTGGGTCTCTGGGAGGTGATCTTCAGCTATTGCGGGTGTAATGTAGGAATTTGGGCGGGAGACGACTTGACGGGTAGCACACTTTTATTAACACCAAACTCATTAACACGTGTGGCCAACTGTAGCCTACGCTACGCGGTTCCCCCGGCTACACACACCCGGGCTCTCCCGCCCCGTAGCTTCCAGGGAACCCACCCCGGCTGGGGTATGGGTCTCGACCACTGGGTCCCACAGCCTCGCCTCACAAGGACGTCAGGCCGCGGGTCCCACGGTCTCGCCTCTGAGCCGCACAGGGTCCCGGCCCTTACAAGGACAGCGGGACTAGGGGTCTCAGGGCCCTATCTCTTCCAACTCCGTCTTCGATCTTCACTGGTTACTAACTCCCCGAGCGCCCCTGCGCATCGCCTTTTATAGTCATCCGCTCCCGGGGAGACGGAGCCTATGCGGACCTCGATGTGAGCACCCACCCTAGTTGACCAATCACCACGCGCTGCCACACGATCCTTTTTCCCAGCTTGTGTCAGCGCACACAACCACTCACCACGTGCTGCCACACGATCAATCACTGTCAGCGCGCGTCACCACTATACCACGCGATGTAGCCACACCCGACGCGCTCTCACACGCTCCCCCCTTGTCAGCGCGTACCGTCACTACACGGGTACCAGTCTATTCAGCAGTACTCTTGCGAGGATTTTGCCGGCGATGGACAGAAGTGTTATGCCACGATAATTGGAACAGTCTGATTTCTCCCCTTTGTTCTTGTACAGGGTGATGATGACTGCATCTTTGAGATCTTGAGGGAGTTTACCCTGCTCCCAGCACCAGACGAAGAATTCATGGAGTTTGGTGTGCAGTGCTGGGCCTCCGTTCTTCCATACTTCAGGAGGGATGCCATCAACTCCTGCAGCTTTACCACTCTTCAGCTGTTTAATGACTTCCTCAGTCTCTTGTAATGTTGGTGCCACATCCAGTTCGGTTTTCACTGGTTGTTGTGGGATGCGGTCAATCGCTGGTTCTTGGACTGAGCGGCTAGCATTGAAGAGCGTGTAGAAGTGCTCAGACCAGCGGTTCAGGATTGAGTCCTTTTCGGTGAGCAGTTCTTTCCCGTCTGCACCCCGCAGGGGGCTCAGGATTTGGTACGAGGGGCCATATACCGCTTTTAGAGCTTCGTAGAATCCCCTGTAGTCGCCAGTATCAGCACAAACCTGAGTTTTTACTGCGAGGTTGGTCCACCACTCGTTCTGAATCTCTCGAAGCTTGCGCTGGATGGTCCTGCATTCCAGGCGGAAGGCTGCTTTTTGTGCGGGCAGGATGGTCGGGCCAGGTGGGCCTGGTGTGCTGATCTCTTCTGTGACAGCAGTTCCTGGACTTCTAAGTTGTTCTCATCGAACCAATCTCTGTTTTTCTTCGTGGAGAATCCGAGGGTATCTTCAGATGTTTGCAGAACAACAGCTTTGATGCGGTCCCACAGCACTTCATGAACCGGAGGCGCGTCTCCTAGGCAGCTCGGTTCCTCTAGCCTAGATCGTAGGCTTTTCTGGAAAGCTGCTTTGACCGCGGCAGACTGAAGGCTGCAGACTTTGAACTTCTTCCTCGGGGCACCACCTTTCCTTGGTCTGGGTTTAAAGTGAATGCTGAGTTTGCAGCGGACAAGACGGTGGTCTGTGTGACACTCGGCGCTGGGCATTACCCTGGTGTGAAAGACATCTTTTAGGTCACGCTGGCTCACAAGGATGTACTCTATGAGATGCCAATGTTTTGACCGAGGGTGCATCCAGGTTGTCTTCAGACTGTCTTTCTGCTGGAAGATGGTGTTGGTAATGGAAAGCTGCTGTTCCGCACAGAGTTCAAGTAACAAGCGTCCATTGTCGTTGCAGCTGCCCACACCGTGCCTTCCAAGTACGCCTTTCCAGGTTTCCAAGTCTCTGCCCACTCTGGCGTTGAAGTCGCCAAGGATGACAATCTTGTTGTCAGCTGGGATATCCTGCAGAAGGCTGTGTAGGTCGGAGTAAAACTTGTCTTTATCAGCGGGATCTGCCTGGAGAGTTGGAGCGTACACACTGAGCAGCGTTGCGTGTTGTTGGTCACGAAGTGTTAGACACATTGAAATGATGCGGTCAGAGTGACCAGTTGGCAGGCTTGCAAGCTTGGTAGCGATAAAGTCCCTGATCATGAAGCTGACACCTGATCGGCGTCTCTCTGTCGCTGGTTTACCTGACCAGTAGAGAGTGTAACCTGCGTCATGCTCCCTCAGACTGCCTTCCTCTGAAAAGCGGATTTCGCTGAGGGCGGCGATGTCAACATCCAGCCGAGCGAGTTCGTGTGCGATTAAAGCAGATCGTCGCTCAGGTCGAGTGCTGTCAGCTGAGTCTAGCATGGTTTTGATGTTTCATCATGCGAGTTTGAGTCCTTTCCCACCTTTTAAGGCGAGTGGGATGCGCCGTCGATTCTTTGATGTAATTCGACCGCATATGAAGATGCCCGTTGACCGCGGTAAGCCAACTAAGGGAGGAGGAGACGAGCTTTGTTTAGGCCACCTTTTCTAGGCCCCTCTCCGTGTGGAGCAAGCAGTGCTGTCCCTAGAAAAGGCTGCTTGGTCGCTCAGGGTGCTGCCGGGTGATGATGTCGTTTCCAGGTCATCATCAGACGACCACTTGCGCCTGAGCCGCCTGCATGCAGGATTGAGACTGCGGCTGCCAGTGTCATCTTACACCTGCCGAGTTCGCCCCTTTCCCATCGCTACAGGACTTAGTGAGACCGGAGGGGGGGGGGGGGGGGTAGACGTGAAGATTACCTTCTTGCCTGCACAAAGGAGCTTTCAAGTGGAGTGCAGTGTGCGCAGAACTAACCCCACCCTTTAAACCCGGGGTTCGTCTGCCATGGCCTAGCAAGCTGGGACGGTGACAGCGAGGTCCTCTGGCCGTAGGTTTTACATCAGTTTCCTTTTCCTAGGTAGACGGCCTTCCAAGGCTGAAGAGATCCACCTTCCCTGCTATTTCAAACCATAGCTGGTAGGCCACAGCCGCAGTCCACAGTAACGAAGTGGCGCGCCTTAGTCCCGAACACTTGGCCTTTGGGTCCTAACGAGACCCTTCCGCCCTGGCCGGTGACTCCGTCGTGGGAGTTCATTCGCCCAGTGATGCAGTGTTGACATCACCCCCTGACGTCGTTTAGCCCGCCAGCTGAAGCGGTTTACCGGGGTGTGGCACTAAGAGCCAGACGTCAGAGATTTAGGAGATGGATGAGGACCAGTGTTTCCGTCCACTCAAAAATTGAGTGCAGCTACCAGAAAACAAAGGTACTACCTCTACCCAGAGCTCCCTACACCCCAACTATACTACTATACACTACACTAATATACACTATACACTACACTATACACTACACTACTATACACTACACTACTATACATGACACTACTATACACTACTATACACCACACTACTATACACTACACTATACACTACACTACTATACACTACACTATACACTACACTACTATACACTACACTATACACTACACTACTATACACTACACTATACACTACACTATACACCACACTACTATACACTACACTACTATACACCACACTACTATACACTACACTATACACCACATTACTATACACTACTATACACCACACTACTATACACTACACTACTATACACCACACTACTATACACTACACTATACACCACACTACTATACACTACTATACACCACACGACTATACACTATACTTTGCACTCCCATCGTGATTGTGAGTGTCGTGTTGTTGTTGTGGTTGTTGCAACTTTCTAACCCCCCCCCCCCCCCCCCGTGCCTCCCTACTGGGCCATCTGTGACAAGCAAAGAGCATCATAACTCATCAGATACCCTCCACCTGCCCTCTTAACGTGAACCTTCCGATTGGTTGCGATCTCTCCCAGCTCATGGAGGCGACATTCAGATCAAAGAAGAGGACACGCAGAGCGATGGAGGTGACGGAAGAGGAGGAGATGGAGGAGGAGGTGATGATGATGATGGAGGTGATAGCGATGGAATTGGTGATGATGATGGAGGAGGTGATGATGGTGATGATGGTTGTGGAGATTATGATGGAGGAAGAGGAGGAGGTGATGATGTCCTCTACATCAAAGAAGAGAACATGCAGAGCGATGGAGGTGACGGAGGAGTAGGAGATGATCATAGAGGAGATGATGATGGAGGAGGTGATAGCGATGGACATGGTGGTGGTGGTGATGACGGTGGAGGTGATGATGATGATGGAGATGACGATGGAGGAGGTGGTGATGATGTCCTCTACATCAAAGAAGAGGACATGGAGACAGACTGCATTGACGACGACGATGACGAGGCCGCCGCTCTGGAGTGCCGGATCTTGCACGACGGCTCCACCTTGAGGCCCGGGCCGGCCGTGGCCTCCTGGCGAGGACGAGGTGCCTCGCCGGGCGTGGCCGAGATCGAGGTGGAGGTGGAGGGCGACGACGACGACGGTACGGGAGGGAGGGAGATGGGGGGGAGGGGAAGGAGAGGGAGGGAGGGCATTATGGAGGGAGATGGGGGGGAGGGAGATGGAGGAAGGGAGAGGGAGAGGAGAGATGCAGGGTTGAGGGAGGGGAGAGGTGAAGGAGAGGGAGGGGGGATATGGAGGGGGGAGATGGGGGGAGGGAGGGAGGACGACCTGGACATTACCAAATCATCAGCATACATAACGTGGTTGAGCAATAGGGAGCCATCCCTTGACCGCACCCGGGTGTCGATCAGCCTCCCATTGTATCTGTACCATATGGTAATTCCTCCGGTACAGCTATTGAAGGCTTCGCGAACTACGGTGTCAAAATAGATGTTAAATAATGTTGGAGCCAGAGGACATCCCTGTCGCACCCCAAGGTGTACAGGGAATGGCTCTGACTCCCGGCCACGTAGTTTTACACTTGGACACGCACACACACACGGACACGCACGCGGACACACACACGGACACACGCACACACACGCATGCACACACACGCACACATGCACACATGCGAGCGTAGAAAATCGCTTTCTCTCAATAATGTAAAACCTTAGCAAGTTTGAAAGTTTATTTTTGTTATTTTTAACACCTCGCTTTCACCTGCCCGGCGGTGCCCGATGACCGCAGGCTCCGCGCTCGGCGGCGGCGGCCTCATGGGACGAGAGAGCGAGGAGGACTACCGCAGCGAGCTCGCCAGGGAGTTTGGCCTTCAGCCACGCATGCGGCTGCGATCGATGCGGACGAACGCCAGCAAGGGCCAGCGACGGCGGCAGCAACAGCAGGTCCTGGGCAATCCCCGCGCCTACAGAGCGGACGACGGTGACGGTAACGACGCCGGCGACGGTGACGCCGACGCATCAGACCCCCGGCCTCCGCCGAAACCACAGCACCACCACCACCACGCCTGTCCCGACTGCGGCAAGGAGTTTGCGACGCCCAAGAGCCTCCGGCGCCACCGCAAGATCCACATGGACGTGAAGCCCTACCAGTGCCCGGCGTGCGACAAGGGCTTTGTGCGCCCCTCCACGCTCCGCAGCCACATGTGGATCCACACGGGCGAAAAGCTCTTCAAGTGCCCCGCGTGCGGCAAGAGCTTCACGCAGTCCTCCTCGCTGCAGTACCACGCGCGGACGCATGCCGCCGAGGAGGAGGAGGAGGAGCGGCGTCGGCGTCGGCAGCTCCGCGCCCGCGGCTCCCCCGCGGACGGAGCCGCCTCGGCCGACGACGCCGACGCGCGGGTGGCCGCGGCGGCCAGGCCGTACGCATGCTTCGTGTGCGGCAAGGGCTTCACCCTCCCCAAGGTCCTCAAGGACCACATGATGACGCACACGGGCGAGAAGCCGCACGGCTGCCCCGTTTGTGGCAAGCGCTTCATCCAGTCGTCGGCGCTGCAAAGGCACGCGTGGACACACACGGACGAGAGGCCCCACGTGTGCCCCGTGTGCGGCAAGGGCTTCACCGTGCCCAAGTTCCTCAAGGACCACCTGATGACGCACACGGGCGAGCGGCCATACGCATGCTCCTTCTGCGGCAAGGGCTTCATCAAGCAGCTGAACCTCGTGTGCCACGTGCGCTCGCACACGGGCGAGAGGCCACACGCGTGCCCCGTGTGCGGCAAGGGCTTCGCCTACAAGTCGGTGCTCAAGCGTCACATGGAGACACACGCGGGGGAGGAGGAGGAGGAAGAGGAGGAGGAGGGGGAGGGGGGGGAGGGGGTGGAGGAGGAGCGGTTGGGGGGAGAGCAGGTGGAGGAGGAGGAGGAAAAGGAGGAGGGTGTAACTGCTTCTTGAAGGATCTGTGTGAGGATGTTTGCTTGTAAGGGTTGGCATCTGTGTGCAGACTGCCCTACATGACATCATCGCAAATGTCCGTCTGCTACAGCAGAGCTGTGGAGAATTCCAACAAGACCTACATCTCTGCTTTATTGACCTGGTCAAGGCCTATGATACTATCAACAGACCAGGGCTGTGGATTGTTCTCCGTGCTTTCGGAGTCCCTGATTCTCTGTCCAAAATCATTAAGGACCTTCATGATGGTGGGCAGGCCCGGGTAAAGCTATGTGGCCAGGAGTCGGAGCCATTCCATGTTCACCTTGGCGACAAGGATGTCCTCTGGCTCCCATATTATTTAACATCAACTTTGACCACGTAGTTCGAGAAGCTTTCTATGACTGTACCGGAGGAATTTCCATCTGTTATACAGATGCAATGGGAGGCTGATTGATGCCCGGGGGCGGTCAAGGGATGACTTCCTATTGGTTAACCATGCTATGTATGCTGATGATCTGGTGATTGCTGCTCACTCAGAGGAGGAGTTGGAGGTGCTGTTGCTGAACTTCGAGGGTTCCACTAAGAGGTGGGGTCTTGCCATCAGCCCCAGTAAACCTAAGCACCGGCCTGGATGTTTTGTGTCATCAAACGCTCCACATCCTCAGCTCCACATTGGTTGTGGGGCAGTTGTGGAGAGAGTGGAGAGTTTCCCATCCCTGGGCAGTGTTCTTATGACCAGTGCTGGTTTGACAGCAGAGGTCTCACTCTGAATCAATCGGCATTATTTTTTCATTGGGTGCGTAATGCTGTGTGCAAACTTTCCTGGTCTTTCGCTCCTCTCAAAGCTTTGGGTCTTCTTGGCCACATTCATGCCCTCTCTTCTGTATGCTTGTGAAATGTGGACCCCTCTAATGGAACATCTGCGCCGGTTAGAAATATTCAGGCTGGCCTACCTATGATCCATCCTGGGTTTAACCAGGCTGGATTGTGAGGAGCTCACAAATCCTTGAAAGATCTGGAAATCAGTGAGCTCTTCTGGCAGGCAAGGCTGCATTGGCTGGGTCATGTAGCCTGCATGCCCAGCGACCACATATCCAAGCAGCTTCTGTTTGGCAAAATAGAGGGGGCTAAATGGGCACGGCACGGGCTAGAGAAGAGATGGAGTGATGTGGTACAGGATGATGTGGAGCTGAGTGCACTTGCCGAAGATTGGTACCAGCGGTGTCAAGATCAGCCTCTATGGAGGAGGCTGGTGAAGGATGCTCTTGGGCAGTTGGAGGCAGTCGCCCTCCAGCAACAACGGAGGGCAGAGGACCGATGCTCACAACAACGAGCGGAGTGCCCGGCGGCTAAAATGCAGCAAGTTGGTACAGTAGTGGGTACAGCTGGTGGTGCATCTGCGAATCATTTCAGTCAGCCAACCCATGGCACTTCCTGGGTCTGTCTCATGATCTGTCAGCGAGCCTTTCGACACTTCACGTGGCCTCAAAGTGCACCTGGCCTGGCACAGAAACCATGGTGATGTCACCATCATTTAATGGCGAATGGCAGGTATTGACGTAAGGATGTATGTAAGGATGTATGTATTTGTGTAAGGATGTACATGTGTTTGTGTAAGGATGAATGTGTGTGTGTAAGGATGTATGTGTGTAAGGGTGTATATGTATGTATGTAAGGATGTATGTGTGCATGTAAGGATGCATGTGTGTATGTATGTAATGATGTATGTGTGTTGGACTACATAGTGATGGACCAGCGAATGCGAGCCCATGTCCTTGACACCAGGACCTACCGTGGAGCTGATCTGCCCTCTGACCATCGACTTGTCATCTGTAAGATGCGCCTGCCACTCTTCCACTCTGGTGGTGGGTGTACACCCAGGACCCCATTCCAACCTAAGGTGGCCTGGTCTCAGCTAGCTGATAGAAGTTGCAAGCAAGAATTACATCATTGCTTGCAGCTGGGGTTGGCATCGTCTCCTACTCCTCCTGATGTTGAGGGTAAATGGGTGAGGTTTAGGACTGTGACTCATGCAGCTGCAATGGCTGCTTTGGGTACGCGGTCCAGACCACTCCAGAGTCCCTGGCTGACAGAGGAGGTGTTCAGGCTGGTTGAGAAAAAGCGACAGGCCCACTCTCATCGGCTACAGTTTCCCACGTCAGAGAATGAGGAGGCTTACCGCAGCCTTCGCTCAGAGGTTTGGAGAGCCATGAGGCACTGCAAGGATGGGTGGTGGTCGCGGGTTGCTGAGGAGATGGAGTCTGCCTCAGTGGCCAGGCGATCACAAATCCCTATTTAACTCCATCAAAAAAGTAACCTGCAGTGCCACACCTATTACCATCATTAGGGGAAAAAACGGTGATCCAATCTCCGACCCCCAGGAACAGGTTTGCAGATTTGCTGAGCATTTCTGTGAGGTCCTGGGGGAGGGGAAATCCCTCAGCCAGGAAAACATCGTGGCACAAAGTGGGGATGACCCTGCTGAGGCTGTGGTGCCTCAAATATTGGATGAAGAAGTCACCCCCTGTGAGTGGCTGACTGAGGTGCCATCTGTTGAGGAAGTACTGAAGGCGATCCAGAGTCTGAGACCAAGAAAGGCACCGGGCAGAGATGATCTTCCAAGCGATATGCTGAGAGAGGGTGGCATTTGTGCACAGACTGTCCTACATGACGTAACAATAGTCTGGACCACTGGACGGGTTCCGCAGGACTGGAAGGATGCTCTGGTGGAAGGGGGGGGGGCCGCACAGACTGTAACAACTACAGGGGCATATCACTCCTCAGTGTTCCGGGTAAGATCCTGGCAAGGATTATTCAACATCGCCTTGCTAGGCACGCTGAGGAGAGGCTTGTGGAGCCCCAATGCGGTTTCAGATAAGGGCGGTCCTGCACGGATGCCATATTTTCTGTCCGTCTGCTACAGTAGAGGTGTAGGGAATTCCAGCAAGACTTACATCTATGCTTTATTGACCTGGTGAAGGCCTATGATACCATCAGTAGGCTTGGGCTCTGGGTTGTTCTTCGTGCTTTCGGAGTCCCTGACCCTCTGCTCACGATCATTAAGGGCCTTCATGATGGTGAGCGGGCCTGGGTAATACTACGTAGCCAAGAGTCAGAGCCATTCCTTGTACACCTTGGGGTGCGACAGGGATGTCCTTTGTCTCCCACATTATTTAACATCTATTTTGACCACATAGTTTGTGAAGCCTTCAATAGCTGTACCGGGGGAATTTCCATTTGGTACAGATATAATGGGAGGCTGATCGATGTCCGGGTGCGGTCAAGGGATGGCTCCCTATTGGTCAACCACATTATGTATGCCGATGATTTGGTAATTGCTGCTCATTCAGAGGAGGAGTTGGAGATGCTGCTGCTGAAACTGCAGCGTGCCACTAAGAGGTGGGGCCTTACCATCAGCCCCACCAAAACTAAGCACCTGCCTGGGTATTTTGTACCATCGGACACTCCACCCCCACAGCTCCCAATCGGTGATTGGGCAGTTGTGGAGAGAGTGGAGAGTTTTCTATACCTGGGCAGTATGCTCATGACCGGCTCCGGTTTAACAGCAGAGGTCTCACTCCGAATCAGTCGAGCGGCAATATCTTTTCATCGGGTGCGTAACGCTGTGTGGAAGCTACCTGGTCTGTCGCTCCGCACGAAGCTTCAGGTATTTTCAGCCACGGTCATTCCCTCCCTTCTCTATGCTTGCGAAACGTGGACCCCTCTAATTGAGCATTTTCACCAGTTGGAAACATTTAGGCTGGCCTGGCTACGATCCATCCTGGGTTTAACCAGGCTGGATTGTGTGAGGAGCTCACAAATCCTTGAAAGATCTGGGCAAAGTCCCATCGGTGAGCTCCTCCGGCAGGCAAGGCTGCGTTGGCTAGGTCATGTAGCCCCGCATGCCCAGCCACCGCATGCCTAAACAGCTTTAGTTCGGCCGGATAGAGGGGGCTAAACGGGCACGGCATGGGCTAGAGAAGAGATGGAGTGATGTGGTACAGGAGGACGTGGAGCCGATGACTGGTACCAGCGGTGTCAAGATCAGCCTCAGTGGAGGAGGCTCGTGAAGGACGCTACTGGGCAGTTGGAGGCAGTCGCCCTCTAGCAACAACAGATGGCGGAGGAGCGACGCTCACAACAACGAGCAGAGCGCCATAGGGGGCACAGGTGGTGCATCAGCCAGTCATCTCAGTCATCTCAGTCGGTCGACCCGTGGCACCTAGGTCTGCCCAGTGACCTGTCAGCGGGCGTTCAACACTTCACGTGGCCTCAAGGTGCACATGGCCTGGCATAAGCGTCGTGGTGACGTCACCGCCACTTAGTGGCGAATGGCGGTTCTGTAAGGAAGAATGTGTGTGTGTGTAAGGGTGTATATGTATGTAAGGATGTATGTGTGTATGTAAGTATATATGTGTGCATGTAAGGATGCATGTGTGTATGTATGTAAGGATCTATTTGTGTATGTAAGGATCTATGTGTGTATGTTAGGATGTATGTGAAAAGGACTTCGGACGAGGTTAAGTATAGCTCAACTGTATGGTTTATTCGCTGATAATGTGCAGACATATAGAGACGATACTTATAGACGATTCACTCCAGAATGCGCCCCGAGATCTCTCTCGGGCTCTTCATATATATACTGTACCCCCCTTTCCAGAAGGTTCTCTTCTATCTTCCACTCCCCATTCTCCTTTTCCAATGGTTATCAACAGTCCCTTATTAATTATTTTAATCTTCCTGCCTGTTCCCCTTGCACCGATATGATTTGAATGCTCCGATGCCTTCCAATCAGATCGGTGTGGTGGCATCACTGACCAAGTCAGTGGCTCTGCTATTTTTAAACTCTGCCTGCCTGTGAAGTCCTTAAGACTTCTGGCATTGGACTGGCCACCAAGCCTAACTGTTACATATGTACGGATGTATGTAACACCGGTGACGATTATATGAACCGGCCCTGCGCCACCCCTAGGTCGACTCAGCCTCAAAGGAGTACCTGGCAAGGTGTGTAACCATCGCCACTGGGTAGGCAAAGGTGGCCGGGCGTCGTGTTGGCCACCCGCTTCCTCGTGTGCCGTCCTGGCCTTCATAGGTGCTCACAGCGCTTGCCCCAACAGTCCGTTAAGGTTATATGGGGGATCTTTGTGTATGTAAGTATGAATGTAATTATGTGTGTGTAGCCGGTCCGCCATATGCCCTCTCTCCTCCGGTCGTGAATCCTGGCGAGGAGGGGAGACAGGTCGGCTAAATAGATGACAATAATAAAAATAATAACGGTCAGAGACTATGATGAGTAAGAGATGCTCTCCTTTGTGTTTCTGTCCCTCCGGAGCAGTTGGGGGGGGGGCACTCTACAACAGCTGAGCACCAGGGGAGGGGTGGTTTTTAAAACGGCAATTTTTTGGTTATTTCAAAGTCTCCTTCTGAAAGGGGCGATCGCGTCCACCTGAAATAGTCACCAGACTACCCAATACCAATACAGCCGCCATTTTACACTAAGTGACGGTGACATCACCACGGCGCCTGCGCCAGGCCCAGGTGCACTTTGAGAAGATCACTTTAAGCGTTGAAGGTTCCAATACAGCCGCCATTTGACACTAAGTGACAGTAACGTCACCACGGCGCCTGCACCAGGCCCAGGTGCACTTTGAGGTCATCACACGATGTGTCGAAGGCTGGCTGTCAAAGACCAGACTATCCCCCCCTCCATGTCACAAATTAAAATTCATGATAACGGCCATTCGTATCGAATAACGTTAAACATACAAACATCTCTGTTATTTTGACAAACATTTAACAAAGAAACAATTGCCCAAAAACATATTTTGTGTCTCCCGAACTGCACACAGTCCCGGATAATGCTGCGTAAACGAAACAATATGTACTTATATAAAGAATAACATAACAAAGCAATATTTAAATATCGAATTACGTTATTTTGTAAATTAGCTAACTTCTATTTTACCGGCAATTAACGTATATTGAACAATTCTTCTTTGTTATGTGGTATAAACTTTCAAAAAAATACGCCTATTCTGCTCACCCCATTAACTCAACGTTAAATTACTGCTACACAGTGGCCGGTCTGTACATTCCCAAAGGACTACAACAACACAAACGACAACGCTAAATGTTATCCGCCATCACCATACTTGTCAACCCACATGCTTTATCCCTTATTTTTGTACGTGGGAAGTTGAGTTTTCAGGTCCATATGGCCTCCAGGCGTTTGTGATGGGACTTTGTAGGATGAACGTTGAGATTTATCACAGAACGGGGTGACCAATAAGGTCTGAATTTGTAATAAGGTAGGCACTGATAAGGGGTTGACAGGTACGTAGTAGTGTTGTGTAAAGTAGTGTAGTGTATAATAGTGTATTCTAGATTTGAAGCTTTCGTGACTGCAAGGATTCATATTCTTAGGTTTTTTCGGTAAAGTCACGTAGGTAAAAAATGTAAATTAATAAAAGTAAAATAAAAAATAATGAAAATAAAATTTAAATAAAAATCACGACGTTTCGGAGGCAACACAAGCTTCCGTTTTCAGGTGGAACCGTCACAGCATGACAGCTGTATCAAGTAAATGAGAGATTACAAGAGATACCACTCCGTATATATAATGGTTGAGGGGGGGGGGAGGGCCAGGAACGGCCCACTTTTTATTATTATGGTAAGGTGCAGCTTGAAACTACGGCTAGACTGTATAACAAATGACTGGGCCTTTATTATGGTGAGGTGCGGCTTGAGACTACGGCTAGCCTACATAACAAAATGCTGCAAATGAGACAGAGCCTCTGCCATGTAGATGGTAAAAGCACAAAAGCATGTCAGGAAGAAACAGCCTCCTGCTATGTTGTTTGGTGGGTAAAACTTATAGCAGGAAACCAGTGTGTGAAAAAAGAAGCTAAACCTGGTCAAACAAAACTGGCTGTCTATCAGTAACCTGTACAGTAACTCAAGAATAGTTGTCTGTCAAATAAGATGGTCCAAATAAGTGTAGTTAAATCTTTTTTGCATGGTTAATCACATCTTTCCAATGATTACTCAGTTTGTAACCATCATCATGGTTGAAATTATGTCTGTGTATATTTGTATGGCTTCGTGTACAAACCTTTGATGGTAGCCAGGAGGTTTGCAGAGCACCTTGGTCTCAGAAAAGACAATTTCATGAGAGCCCACAGAGTTATAGCAATGATCGGCAACGGCCCGAAGAATCAGTTCTGCCGTGTTTCAGATCTGACTTGTGCTCGCGGACACGATCAGAGACATGACGTTTCGTTTCTCCAATGTAGCAATCACCACAACTGCAACTCAGTTTGTAGACTCCAGGATACTGTAAGTCAGGAACGACATCCTTCACAGATGGAGTCAGATCACGGATTTTATGCACTGTACTGAATCGGACTTGGATGTTATGTTTAGAACTTTGGAGATCTTTTTAGTTACGCCTGCTATGTATGGTAATGTGATAGTTTTGGTTGGAGTTTCATGTGGCTGTTTCTGTATGGTGGGAGAAACAGCTTGGCGGATGGTGCGGTCAGAGTATCTGTTCATCCTGAGGGCCCAATGTACATGTCTTAATTCACCGGCCAGGTGGTGTTGGTCATAAATGCCATGAGCTCTGTGGTATAGCGTTTTGATGAGAGAATTCTTTTAAGATGGGTGGTGGTGGGAATCCGGTTTCAAGTAGGAATCTGTGTGGGTGGCTTTCTTGTAGACAGAATGACCCAAGGATCCGTCAGGTCTCCTCTCAAACAGAATATCTAAAAATGGTAGTTTACCATCTTTCTCCACTTCCATGGTGAATCTGATGGATGGGTGTCTGGAATTGATGTGGTCCAAGAAGTGGTTCAATGCTGGGAGGCCATGTGGCCAAATGATGAAAGTGTCATCCACATACCTCTTGCAGGGTGGATGTCTGGATGGCATCTGATTCAAACTTTTCCATGAACATGTTGGCTATCACTGGTGACAAGGGGGAGCCCATAGGGTACCCTCATTCTGTTTGTAGAAGGTGCCATTCCAGGTAAAATAGGTGTTGGTGAGGCAATGCCTAACCAGCGCAGATACATTAGAATTAAATCCATGTTGGACCAAGTCCTCAATTATTGTTAGGGTGTTCGGTACTGGGACTTTGGTAAACAGAGATACTACATCAAAACTGACGAGGATGTCATTAGGAGATAGTACCATGTCCTTAACCATATAGACTAATTGGGTTGAGTTGAGTACTGCCGAAGAGGTCTTGCCTGTGAAGGGAAGCAGAGTATCTGATAGAAACCGGGCTAGTTTGTAGGTAGGAGAGTTTATCGTCGACACGATGGGTCGTAGCGGGGTGCCTTCTTTATGTATCTTGGGAAGACCATAGAGTCTGGGAGATCTTGCCGCCGATGGTTTTAGAGGGACGTTTGGTTGGTTCGATTAGGGAAGTCGAACTCGTGATGATTTTGTTGGTTTTTGTCGTTAGGCTATTAGTAGGATCGTTTCTAATTTTGGAGTAACTCCCATCATAAAGTAGGTCCAGGATTTTGTTGTTGTACGAATCTTTATCCATGATGACCGTGGCATTGCCTTTGTCTGCCGAGAGGATGACTATATAATTTCTCTTTTTTAGGTCCGCGAGTTCAGAGCGTTCGTTTTTGCTAATGTTACTAGTGGGTTTCTTAGCCGTACCTTACCACCCACACAGATTCCTACTTGAAACCGGATTCCCACCACCACCCATCTCAAAAGAATTCTCTCATCAAAACGCTATACCACAGAGCTCATGGCATTTCTGACCAACACCACCTGGCCAGTGAATTAAGACATGTACATGGAGCCCTCAGGATGAACGGATACTCTGACCGCACCATCCGCCAAGCTGTTTCTCCCACCATACAGAAACAGCCACTTTAAACTCCGATCAAAACTATCACGTTGCCATACATAGCAGGCGTGACCAAAAAGATCTCCACAAAGTTCTAAACATAACATCCAAGTCCGATTCAGTACAGTGCATAAAATCCGTGATCTGATTCCATCTGTGAAGGATGTCGTTCCTGACTTACAGTATCCTGGAGTCTACAAACTGAGTTGCAGTTGTGGTGATTGCTACATTGGAGAAACGAAACGTCATGTCTCTGATCGTGTCCGCGAGCACAAGTCAGATCTGAAACACGGCAGAACTGATTCTTCGGGCCGTTGCCGATCATTGCTATAACTCTGTGGGCTCTCATGAAATTGTCTTTTCTGAGACCAAGGTGCTCTGCAAACCTCCTGGCTACCATCAAAGGTTTGTACACGAAGCCATACAAATATACACAGACATAATTTCAACCATGATGATGGTTACAAACTGAGTAATCATTGGAAAGATGTGATTAACCATGCAAAAAAGATTTAACTACACTTATTTGGACCATCTTATTTGACAGACAACTATTCTTGAGTTACTGTACAGGTTACTGATAGACAGCCAGTTTTGTTTGACCAGGTTTAGCTTCTTTTTTCACACACTGGTTTCCTGCTATAAGTTTTACCCACCAAACAACATAGCAGGAGGCTGTTTCTTCCTGACATGCTTTTGTGCTTTTACCATCTACATGGCAGAGGCTCTGTCTCATTTGCAGCATTTTGTTATGTAGGCTAGCCGTAGTCTCAAGCCGCACCTCACCATAATAAAGGCCCAGTCATTTGTTATACAGTCTAGCCGTAGTTTCAAGCTGCACCTTACCATAATAATAAAAAGTGGGCCATTACCTACGTGACTTTACCGAAAAAACCTAAGAATATAGTAGTGTGTTGTAGTATACCTGTCAACCTATACGGTTTACCCGTATTTTTGTACCTGGGAAATCGAGTTTTGAGGTCCTTACGGTGTACAGCCGTTTCAGTACGGGCAAAAAAATTGTCTTTGTGTTTCTCTCTTGTTATGGGACTTTGTAGGATGAATGTTGAGATTTATAAAGGGCATGGGGGGGGGTGACCAATAATGTCTGAATTTGTAATAAAGTAGGCACTGATAAGGGGTTGACAGGTACGCATCACTAAAAAAAACGTTATATTCTGCATCACCAAAAGATTCCACAATCATCTTTCGACTCGGCTATATCCTTCGATTCGAGTTTCGATTGATGCAAACGAACGAGTTATTAGTGCTTAATGGTCGTAATAATAAATTAGCCATGAGGTGCCCGACGCCGTCTTATTAATAAGATTCCCCCCCGCGCAAAAACGACAAACTAACGTAGTGCGACTCAAGAAATAGGTGAAGATCTCACGCCTGCAATAGCGACCAGAGACACCATCCATAACACA